AAAATGGGAAGAACTCCAAGGAAGATTTATAAAGAAGTAATTGTCATGGGCCTTTCCTCATGCAATCCAAAGAAAAAGCAAGGCCTCCAAACTTGCTTTTCTCTGGCCAGAGGTTCCATCCCAATGCACTAGTATATTTCTTTGGTTTCCTTGAGGCTCTTGTAGTGAAGAAAAAATAAGTGTGAAGGACTTTTGGGTATTGAAAGGTGAAAAAAATATTTGTTTCTTTAATTTTGGAGAAAAATTAATATAAAAGAAAATTTTTAAGAAAAAAGTTATATATGGAAAAGAGTTTTTATCTTTGTAAGATTTTAAAGAAAATTATTTGAATATATACTAAAAATTATATTTTATTATAAAATTTGTTATCAGCAAAAGCTATATTATTTCTTAACTAATCTATTAAATACTATTAATTTCAAATAAAATTAAAAAAACACAAGCTTTTCTAAACTTTCTGATATTAAACTTGTAAACTTGTTCAATAAAATTTTTTAATATCTAACAAATTACTTATTAAAGTATTGTTTCTTTTTTTTTTAAAAGAAAGAAATAATAATTTTTTTTAACAATATTAAAATAGAAGAAAAATAATTTCAGTAGTTAGCTTTGTTAATTCTATTTTATTTAAAATATTTTCTTATCTAAAAAATTATTTAAAAAATTACAATTTGAAAAATGGATAAAATCTTATTGGCCAGAATATATTTTAATATTTTAAAACTTATAGCAGAATTAATAATTTAATTCTTTAAATAATGTTTGGCTTCAAATATAAGCTATTTATTTAATAATATGCAATTTTTTCAAAATCAGATTAAGTCTTCAAAAAAATTCTTTATTCTGATAACTATTATTAATTAAGTATCTTTACTATAAGTAAAAATAATAAATATTGTTAACAAGTCATTATTATTATAAAAAGAAAAGTTATATTGAAGTTTTTACTAAATTATTTATAGTTTGTAACTCTTTACAAACTATAAATTAGAGTTAAAAAATTTTAAAGAAAAAAAAAGAAAATTAATATATAAGGAAAAATATATCAAATCTATTTATAACAGATCAAATATCTATATTATTAATATTATGAAATATAATTAGAAGTATAATTAATATAAATAAAAATTTAAATCAAACTGAAGTAAACAAAATATTTTAAAAAATCAAAAAAAATTTTAAAATATACTAAAAAAGTAACTGTTTTTATGTTGTGAAAGTTTCTGAAAAATCAAGATATTTAATAATCTTTCAAATTAATTTTTTTTTGTGTAGATACTAATATTATAATAGTAAAAAAGTAAAAAAAAATCAAATAAATTGTAAAAAACTTTTTTTTACTATTGGAGCTTGAGTAAACAAACAAAAAAATTTTCTTGTTTTGCTTTTTTAAAGAAATAAACAACAGTAGAAAATTGAAAGTTTTTATCAAGGTCTGCCAAGTTTGTATTAAGAAAAATATATAAGTTATCTTAAAATAAAGATATGTTTTACTTTGAATACTGCTTTAAAGTAATAATTAAAGATATATATGTGTTTATATTTAATTTGGCCATTTTTCAAAAGCTATATTATGTTTATATTACTAAATAACAATTAGTAAGTAATTGGAAATTGGATTTAATTTAAAATCATATTATCAATCAAATTTCCTTTTATAATAATAAGAAAACATGTATAATTAGAGAATTATTAGAAAGAAATTTTTTTTAAATATAATATTTTATTTAAACTATAGTTTAATATCAATACATTAATAATTTTTATGACAATAAATTAATTATAGCCTATTGCATTTAATCCAACATATGCAAATTTACTGTATATTGGAAAAATGAATCTATATATTAAATAGGATTTAAAAATCTTTGGTTTAATTTTTTTTTTACTTATATATATTAATATAAAAAAATCAAAATTAGTTTAATCTTTTTAAAATAATAACAAGTTCTTTTTATTAATTATAACTTAATAATAATAATAATACTAAGACTTTTTAATAAAACATTATATATATATAGGTTATATTTTGTTTGGCCCTATAATCCTTAGATTTAATAATTAATGCCAATTAAAACTTTTTAAAATATTTATTAAAAAAGTTAAAAACTGCATTCCAATTGGCTTTTAGTTTCTAGATTTGATGGTTTATATTAATTAAAAAACAATTTCAAAGTATTTATTAGAAAGTACATATCAACTATAAATTCTTGTCTCACTTATAACTATATAAGCCAAAGATATAATATGAAAAATTGATTACATAATATTGTCATTTCCTTAATTTTTCTTTTACTTTCTTTGTTCTTTTAAAAATACGTATTATTTTTTTTAGATTTTATATACAGTGTAGATAGTTTAATATAGATAGACTAGTATTAAACTCAATATTAAAGATACAATATTCTTTTTCATATTGTATTCTTGTTAATTCTTAATAAAAAAGGAAGATAGTTTGTCTATTAAAAAAATTTCAAATATTTTTATTTTAAAAAATTTGTAATACTGCCACTAGGACTTTAATAATACCACAGTATTTCATATTTTAATAAGACTTGATGATTGTTTAAAAGAGCAGTAAAATATCACTGAAGATACCTGCTATTATATTGACTTATCCGGATTTATTATAATAACAAGAGCCTTAAGCTCTCTGCCGTTTTCTACTTTAAATAGAATAAATAAGTCTTGGCAATTATGCAAGTTTCCATATATAATTGCAATTCCAAATTTTTATAATAATTCGAGTAATGATTATATATTTGAAATGTTCATAAATTTACAAAAAACTTCTTCCTTGGTAAAACGATCAGATACTCGTTAAATTCACAGTAACAATTTAACTCTGTACAATAATAACAACAATATCGATTACGACTTCGAGCATATTTTATCAAATTTTGTATTTTTTCATGTCTGTACTTTTTCTATTTCAGCCTTCGCTTCTTCCCAACTGTTTAGGTTCTGTTTGTAAATCGTTATTAAAAAAATGTGAGTTTTTTTTGTCCTACATTTGGGATCCAAGAAAAGAAAGAATACCAACCTTTTGACACCATTTAACATGATTTTTTGCATAATCAATTAAAATCTGCCTGATATCCGAAATCTTTTGTCGCTGAAATCGATTTAGATCATTTTGAATGGATATTGATATGTTTTTTAAATCAGCTTTGGTGGTTTCTAAAGCTTCTTCGAGCTAATGAATACAAGAAATTTCAGTTTTTTTTCTTAATGAATATTACACGCTTAATATTATCTTGGTAATTCAAGTTTCAATAATTAACCTGAATAATTGATTCTCTTGTTTTTCCAATGCTATTCCTTCGGGTAGCTTCGGGATCAACATCCATAATGCCATGAATGGTGTGACTTAAAACAGAAAAGAGTTTTGAACTACTTCGCTTTTTATGATGAGTTTTATATCCGACAGAACTATCTCCATTTTGCAATCCTTCGTGATGACCATTTTCCCTTACGGTAGTATCAGAATGATTATCATCATCTGCATGATTTTGATGACTACTTGTGTCTTGAGTTTCACGTTCCTTGTTTAAAGCCTCTTCTAACCTCTTGGCCTCTTGTTCTGATTTTTCCAGATTATCCAATGAGAATCTTTGTTTCTCAAGTGTTTCGGCTGTAAGCTCCATCTGTAAATGTTTCAAATATCTATACTTGAGAACTTGTTTGATAACCTGCGCAAATTGTGAATATTCCTGAAGTGGTTCAGTAAACTCTGCCTCAAGAGAATCGGTCTTTTATATAGAAAATAAGATCATATATTAGATTTATATAATAATAACTCAATTTAACAAAATGACTTGCGCGACAATACCAAGGCTCTTGTAGCAATATAAGTCGAATCCACAGCCTGTCCCACTTTTTCAATAGCAATAGCCAAATCCCCATTCTCATTCAGACTGAAACCATTATATAATGCACCTAATTCAGAATAATCGTTGGAAAAATCTGTTCAAGGTGACAAATGTTCAATGTTAAAAAAAGTTGTTTGCAAAATATAGAAATTTATGATAAATCGTAGACAGGACAAGACCGTTTAAACGTTTCCAAATTCTTTTGTTAGTCTTTTCCATATTTTGACTGATGTGTGTATAGAATTTATTCGTAAAGGCTTCGGACTCGACGAATAAAGGATCTGGAACCCTTAATTGCTGCGAAGCACTTGGGGTGGGGAGTACGGCTGGTGGAATTGATGAGTTTGTTGTTGAAGTGGGGGTATTATTTTGAGATGAAAGATTTGCCGGTGATCCTTGAAGAATATTTTTAGGTAGATTTGAAAGCGGAGGAGAATGTAACACTTCATTCTATTTAAAATAAAAGATTAACTTATTTCTTTCAAAATTGTGTAGCCCGAACTGAATTAGAAACTGACCCAAGGAACTCCATTTTCCATGAACCGGTGAAAGACATGTTCGTTAGAGAGTTGTGGGTGATTGGATAGACGGTTCAAAAAACTTTGTAGCATTCTCTTTCGTTTTCCTATTACAGCATCTTCTTTGGCCTTATTTTGCATAGTCGCGTAATCAGCTAGGTGTTGTTGAATTAAAGATCGAATCAATTGACATATAACGGGTAACTCTGATAGAAAAGAACAAAAAAATCACCTATCGAATGCTTCTCTGGAATTGGAGGAATTATTAATGTAGGGTACAGACGCATCAAAGATTTTCTTAATGACTCGAATTCTGAATAACGACGGTTAACCTCTTGATCCTATGGTTGGGAGTAGAATAAGAATAAGAAAAAAAAGGAAATTCTTAAGTAATTCTGAATCCTGAATATTATTATTCTTATTAATGGCGCATTGTATTTACCTCAACTCTTATGGTATATGTAATGTAACTACTCCCATTAGGGTCATTCGCTTTTTGCGCAGCCGTAATGAAGATCTTGGAGTCTTCTGTATGGATATCCCGGTCAATTTGACAGCAAAAGTGTGTCTTGACCTCTGGTTGATAGTTTATATTAATCGATAGTGGATTAAGGTCTTCCTCTTCCTCATGATTTTCATCAAGACTTTCTTCGTAATCATCGTTTACCATTATAGGATCGACTGTATCTACCAAAAAGTCGTTCATTTTTTTAAAGCAGTGATAACGATATAATTCTTCGTTCTCTGAGAATCGTCCGTCAAGTGATTATGCGAAATTCCCACATCCAGCACATGTCATCTGACTTGCGCACTTTAATGACATAATTGCAAATGCTGAAAATAGAAAATTCATATCCCGAAATGATTGCAAACTGGGATAGGGGGAGATCGGAGTATTAGTAATTAATTGAAATTCTTGTTTGTTTATTATAATATTTTTGTTATTAAAATACAGTATGTCAATTTGAAATTTATTTATTTATTTTATATATTTTCTAAACTGTAAGTAACTAGTGTTTATTTTTAAAGATTTTTTATAAGAATTAAAAAATATTTTAATCAAAAAACATATACGTATTAATTAATATTTTTAATTCAATTTTGACAAAATATTGTTTTTGCTTTATTATCAAATAATTTTTTATATGTACAGTATATAAGACCAAGTATTAATTCTTTAAACAATTTTACAAATAACTTATATATTGATATTCATGTAATGATAAATTTATTTACAAATGGAATTTTTTTTATTTTTCAATAAAAATAACTAATCAAATTATACAAGATCATTTTAAAAGTGATATTGGATTTTAATATATTTAAGAAAAGCAGATGATCAAAATAAACACGCAAATTATAAGAACTCATAGTCATGAAAAATTATGAAAGTCTAATTTAAATAAATTCCATAAACGTATTTTAAATTTTAATGTTCCAGTTGCATACATCCCTTGACCACATTCTCTACCAGATATTTATACAAAATTCCAACAGGGTCAATTAAATAACTCAACAGGCCAAGTTCCTGTACCCCATTTGTAGATTTGTTATTTTATGTGATGTAATTCAGATAACGATGTCTTTGAATAAACAGATAACAGACAGCATTCAGTTCTATCTGATGGCCCAACAACCTCAAGGACAGAACATCCTCAATCTGTCAACGCCGAATGATTGCTAAGATAATGGGCGTTTAGGCACATGAATTATGTATAGACATAATCTATAAAATCCTTTGCCCAAATTTTCCCATAAGTACAAATCAGATGATCACAGGAAATAATCGGGAGCTGGCTTTTTGGCTGGTAGACCACGAACTTCCTATATTCAAAAATTCAAAAATCAAAAATGATGGACAGTAGATACAAATGACAATAATATAACCTCGACAAAAAAAAACAACCTGAAATTATACATACTTGAGGTGCAGCATCAAAGATCTTATATTCCCTGACCAGATTCTCATCTAATTTTAAGATTGCAGCAACATTGCCGCACCTATGAACAATGACGTTATTAATATCGACTGCGCATTTTCAAAGGGTTTGTCATGTGATTTTTAAAAAACCGACCTGTAACAATAGTTCGGTGCGGACCATACCGTTACTATGGTATTATTAAACATCAATTTGTAACCCTCCATTACCAACTGATGGGCGCGCGCAATTAATTCTAGGTTGTTGGTATGTATAAACTAAGAAGGAAAAACACACAATGTCAATCTTAGCATACTTTACTATTTTAAGTTGGGCTATTGATAAACAATCTTACTTGTGCGACAATATCCCCGCCAAATAAATATCCTGCTCCACGAGGACTAAGGCCCCACCCTTCAATTTCTGGTCGTAAATAGGTTTAATATAGATTAACAGTAAGAAATAAACGATAGTTACAGAAAACAATAAAAAATTTACCATCTGGATCTGACCATAAAAGATCGCACATGGCTCCATCATGTGGAACTTCTTGCTTCCGATCTATCGTACGAATCTTTGATTTATTATTTCATATCACATGATTAGACACTTAACGGAAGTATGCGTAAACAGATAAACATGTGAGTAATGAATACCTGATCCAGTGAACTTATGGCAGGTGATAATCCACCGTGTACACAAAATATTTTGTCGTCCACAATCGCGGAAAGACTCATGTAATCAAAGATCTCGCAACAATGTCGCCACACGTTAACGGATCCATATTTTCGAAGGCATTCATCATAGAACCCGTACACTTGTGTTATTTGACGTGATTCGTGATTACCACGTATCAACGTTATCCTGTCAGGATATCGCACCTATACACACGTGAACGATTTTCTTCAAAGAGATCAATAGACAACACGACGATAAAGTGTTTACCTTTAGTGAGAGTAATAACAAGAACGTTTCTACGCTGTAAAAGCCTCTATCAACAAAATCACCTGTCAAGTGTAAAGTGGTCTTTCAATACGCGAAAAGATCGCAGTCGAAAATAGGATCGAGTGGTAACTTACCCAAGAACAAATAATTTGTCTTTGGACAATCGCCTCCGACCTTGAACAACTCTTTCAGATCATAAAATTGACCGTGTATGTCGCCACAGACCTGTTTAATTAATTAATATTATTAAATTTTATTGAATCGCAAGAGACAGAAAAATTAACTATTAACTAATTTCCAAGGCGCATATACCCATGAACATATGAAAATAGTCTTACTGTCACGGGCGCGTTCACTCTTTGTACATTGCTTTCTTCAATTAGGATCTCCCTTGCTTTTCGGCAAAGTTCTCTCACTTCCTCTTCGGAAATTAATTCGCAATTACGAAGTTTCTCTATTTGCCTTCGTAAAGGTATACAGATTGTCAAAAGATGAAATTGGTAACAATGAAAAAAAATAAATTGGAAACTGTACTTACTCGTCAAGGTCACTTTGTCCCATTTCTGTTTTCTATTCTCTCTTTTTTTTTTTTAGGGGTGGGGGAACGAAATGTTATATATCAAAATTCTAGAGTTCTAATCTGCGCCTTCTCGCAACAAGCCAATAAAATTTATAAACTCACGTGAAAAACGTTACTACAAGGATCGGTAATCTGCAATTGTTGCAGGGGCAAACGATTGGTTGCAATTGAAATCTTATTTTTTTACTCAGATAACCAACTAAAACTTTATATTTGCCCAGAAAACCGGAGAACATGAGTCGTCTTATAAATGTTGCTCGGAATGCACCAAAATTGTTTCTGACCAATAATTCAGTCACCGGTCATTCTTACATTGGTCGAGCTTTATTAAGTAAAGGTACATTTTTCTGTATGAATTAGGCATTTTTGATGAAACAAAGTAATTCTCAAACTCGTTAAAAAAAAAAAAAAAGGTGTACGTTTTTACTCTGGGCCGCCCGAGGCTGAATCCTTTGAAGTGTTCACTGAACGCTATGTGAAATTCTTTGATAACGTTGACGACCGTTTTGAGTTACAAAGAGGTCTCAACAATTGTTTCGCCCATGATTTAGTACCCGCACCGTCGGTCATTGAAGCGTCCCTCAAAGCTGCGAGACGTGTGAACGATTATTCAACAGCTGTTCGCATTTTCGAGGGGATCAAGTATAAGGTTGATAATGAAGGTATATATAATCAATATTTGGAGGAATTGAAACCTGTCAAGGATGAATTAGGAATTTTGACCAAGGAGGAGCTGGGTCTTTAGATCTGAATTTTAAATACCAAAGAATTTTTTTTTTTTGAATAATTTGCGAATAAAAAGAAATTCTTTATTTCATTCATTATTTGATGGTATCTGTTAGAAGATAAAAATGCATCATTTTATAGGGACTGATTGAAACTTCAGCTGACCAGTCTCTGCTTGTGGATTCCCATCGTTTTATTGGTCAAATGATTAGGTGAAGTTAGATTTAATTCTTCGTCTATCATTCTATTAATGTGGTTGCATAATGTACAATCTTCATCATAATTGTCCTATGATAATGAATCCCCTCCCAAACAATTAAATTTTTTACATTCTCGAATATCAAGAAAATGTGATGTATAGCATAAATATGTTCAGTTGCCTTTTCCACGTTGAACCTGACCTTTCTTCCCTCTCGTAACACTACCCCTTGACCCTCTTGATCCTCTTGAAGCCTTGGTACCCCTTTGACTTTGATTTCTGGGTACCGTTTTGACTGTATCGCTGAGTTGAAGTTTTGTGGGCAATGTCTCAGCAGATAATGTCAAATCGGAAGTAGATATTCGATCATATTTATACATGTCAGACTGCTGTCGGTTCTCTTCAGGGTTCAATGTTGATTCTTTGGAAAAAGCGCTAATCTGATCCAAGTATTCGCTCATGTTCGTCGTCTTGCATGTCAATGGGTCGGTCTGTACAGCGTGAATGCGATCAAATATGTCAGCGGTTTCAATGGACTAAAAATATGCGAAAAAATCGACCGTCCTCAGAAGGTTAGAAAATCATCTGCCCCGGAATATGCATGATATTAAATCGTGCCGTGCTCACTTCAGCATCACAGTATTTCATCCTTATCCATGTTTCTTCATCCCCTAATCCTTGGGACTTTGGTCGAGAATTTTTCTTTAACATTGATTTATCTGAAGTCCGGTCTACGGTTGCACCCTAAAGATGGAAAGCTCAAAAATAAGACGATAAAAAAAGGCATCTTGAAAATCAAGTTAGTCTAAAGATTACCCCAAGAGCCTTCCCTTTCCCTGTTCCCCTGCTTTTACTGGAACCAACGCCTGGGTCATCGTTGGTGGATTTGGCATTCGTAAACTCTTCTTCCTCCAGAACTTGTGCTTTTTTATTCGCATTTTTATTTTTTTCATCGATCTTGTCCAGATACTTTAGTCCCGGGCGTAATTGTAATGTGGTGCGAACCGGTGTTAAGCAAAGGCCACCTATAATTTTCAGCGTAGAAGGGTATTAAAATACACACACGCGCGTTTTCGGGGGCAAGTAACAATCGAAAATGCCAAATAAAATCTACCATCCTTCATCACACCCATCCAGTAATTCGCTTGTGGCGGGACAACCGTAGATTGCAATGTTTGCTTATCCAACAGCCCATCTGATTGATCGCGCTTCCATGTTCGATCGTAAATGGTTTGTGCTTCTTTATCATTAAGACCCAACATCAATTCCTCGCCTCTATCACGATTATACCATAGAGAATTTGTTTGCAATGGAATGTCGAGCTCAAGCTTATCCGATTGTGGTTTGTACCGTGCTTCGCGTGGTGTATTTTTACCTACGTATGGATTCGCACTCGGTCTGACAGGAAATTGAACGACATAAAGTTTATTCGAAAGTTGTTGCGACAAGTATATCGGTATCTCCTTCACAATCTCGTCGGGATCCAGATCCGAAATCGAATCCACGTCTAAACTGTCATTTCCCCTCTGGTTCGACTGTGCCGATAAGTCTCCCTCATCAATATCACTGTCACTACTGATTTCAACGAATTTTGTTGACTCCATTGGTTAATGTGAAGCGTTCGCGAAATTCACGAAGCGTGATATTGGAGAAAGTGATAAATTCATATGTAGCGTGCGTACATAGGTACTGTACATATGTTTTTACTGTTTGTTGCACAACATTGTACATCATAAATGCACGTTATAATTTAATTGCAGTACCGACCAACCGATCACTCGACCACTCGAATACGCTCAAGTCATTCAATTCTTTACAAAGTCGAATGCTTTCTCTTTGACTCCTTAGATAATCGCCCAACTTTTTCGGCATACGGTTTTAAAATTTCGAGCGTGTAAAATTATTTTATTGTAATTATAATTATCTAAACATCGAGAGAATAAATCATTAATGGAAAAATCTGGTGTAAACCTCAACAACACTAATACTCCGTCGGCATCAAATGCTTCCACAGCAACGGCTGTGTCTTTCCCGCAGCCTGCACCACGTTCTCCTCCGGGCTCTTCAACACCAACCGAGAATTATGGAGTCACACACTCATACGACTTTTTATATGAGCTTGTACAAAAGCGGGTTTCGACGTTCACATATTTAAAGAAGGTGCACGAGGGAAAGATACACTGGTTTAACACCGTATGTTTAAACAAAGAAGATCTAGGAATGGTTTACGAGAATTCCAGAATGAAGAAACGGTAGCTTTTCTACAAATTCTCATTTGAATCATATCATCTATACCACAATTATCATTTTAATTGTGGTTTTTCTCTTCACAGCACGGGAAACTTTTTCATCCTCGGCGCATCTCTCGCACCAATACTTGATATCAACAATCCACAAGATTATGTGAAAGCTTTAAACGTAATGCTACAAGAATTTGAGTATCACACAAACGAGCATTCAAAACAAAAGATGGTAAATTTTTTTCCTTCCTTATCTCGTGAAAATTTCTTAGAATGAGAGCTTGACAGTTTTCCTTTAATTTTCAAGAAAAATTTCTTCCGGAAATCTAAGATCGTGAAGGACGATGATGCATCCTTCCAGGAGAGCGGAGAGTATACCTATCTTTTTGTGCCAAATATAGTAAGTATAAAACGGTTTTTTGTTGGAATTTAAAATTCAACGTTGCTTTCGACTTACAACCTTTAATTATATTATCAGCCATTTGATCTGGACTATTTCCAAACCTTTTATACTTTATGCGACATATTGGTGGAAGTGTACAACAAGTTATTGGTAGGAACGACCAGTACAATAACAACAAGTTTTACCGAAAGCGTGCAGAAAGTCGATGGGAAATTCAAAAAAATCATTGCGTTGATAGCAAAAGAGATCGACACATTATCTCGAAACACGATCAAAGATGAGTTGCGTGTCATCGACCCGATAATCATTATGTCACCGTCCAACGCAATCAGCAGTAGAAGAATACATTCGCCCGTCAATTTTCCCATCACAAATAATAGTAATGATGGGATATGGGACAGTAATTAGCCGAAAGCGAATCACATGATTATTGTACATTATTATGACATTATATAATAAAATCCAGATTATCCACGATCCCGGCGATTTCATTGATCACATCATAATTCATAATTTCACATTTCTGGTAACCTTCATTTTAATGTATACAAGATTTCCTGAAAAAACAATTGCTTTCATTTTCACAATTCAATAACTACCGTAATCACTATATTTAAAAAATATTTATATTAGAAATTTGTAATTTCATTATTATCATCATGTTTAAAAAAAGGATGACAAGTAGTTTGATTACTATTTCCATTTAAAAAATACAAATTAAATTTGAATCATTGATATACAGTATAATCAAATAAAAAATCATTTAAATATAATTTTCTTTTCAAAATAATAATAATAATAATAATACAGTACTATATAATTAAAATCAACTTATTTTTTTTAATATTTATTTATTTATTGAAGATTTCATTCACTTGAATATTATATTAAATTAAATTAAATTATTTTGATTTTAATTTATTTTAATTTAATTATTTTTTATTTAAATGTTATGTTTAAATTGTTAAATTAAAACATTATTTAATCTGATTTTATACAGTAAATAAATTCAATTATGTCTGATACCAGAGCATTTTAACTTTGTGAGATTACCTATGAAGAGATATTATTAAAATTTTTGTTTTCAAAAAGATGATATTAACTGAAAATTGATAGGATTCTCTATATGAAATAGATGTAAACATATTACTTTGTATATATTTCACAAAATATTTTACAAATTCTTTTGTTCAAATTTCAAAACTTTAAATTTAAATTTATTGATATTGCAAGAATTACTATCTATGAACTATTTTACATTATGATAATTATATTGACTTTTACATTCATATTGGCTTGTTACTATTGATCTTATTTTAAAGCTTTTGATCAATTAGATATTGAGTTAAAGACTAATGTACTAAAATATTATTAGTATTACAAACTATTGAATTATTATATCAATTTTATTTTTAAAGTTGTGAAGAATTAAAAAAAAGTTGAAATATAGAGTACTAGAAATAATACCTATCTTTGATAAATACAACACTACAAAAAATTTATTATTATTATATTCTATTTATTTCTTAAGTTATTTAAACAATTAGAAATTTATTTTGTTTTACTATCCATAAAATTATTGGATTAATTACAATTGCTTATCTTGAAAAAACAACCTGTTAAACAATCAAGATTAAAATTTTAATGATAACTTATAGAAAAAAAGATCAGGTATCACAAGAAAAAATTACTAAACTATTTGCTTAAAATTAAATACTTTCTATACTTTCTTTTTATAACTTTCAGTAATTATTATAATACTAATTAAATGATTATTACACTACTATATTTTTTATAAAAATTACAATTTTAATACTTATTAGATTAATATATAACTAAGGATGGGTTCTTAAATTATTTAGTATATAAAATTTTACAGATCAATTATGTCTCTTTTAAAGAGACATAATTATTTATTTATTACTTTAATAAAGATATAATTCAAAAAATACTTGAATCAAGTAGCCTAAATTGCAAAAAACCTTTGTAAGTGGGTTTTTTTTTGATCTTATATTTAAAAAAAAAACCTTTTTAATAGTAAGGGATATTTGAATTATATCCTTACATTTAATTTAGGAACACGAAAAGTGAATCTGTACCCAGTTTGAATTATGAAATAATAGTCACATGACAAATCAATGTAAAATCCAACATATGTCATATAACTATAATGCAAATATATTAAAATATTTCAACTTTTTTATTAATTTTGAACATAGCATTTTTTTATATGCACTTAAAAAAACTATTTTAGGCCATTAGATCTCATTTCTAATAAAGCTTGATTTAAGTTATATAAGCGTTTTTTTCAATATTTTTTTCATGATAGCATAATAGATTTATCTAATTTTTTTATCATAGCTTTATTAACTAGCAAATTCTTTTCAAATCTTCCTTGCTGTACTTTTCCAAGTCTCTAGCTTAAACTCTTTCTACATTGTGAGACATTAATAATCTGAACTTGTATTCTTTTTTTATCATACTGATAACTGTTATTATTAACCTGACCTGCATCCCTATCATAACTATGAAGAAAAAAAGCTACAGTCAAATGAATGTAAGTATCTTGTATATATCAATATTGCTTGTATAATTTAACAAACCTTTGAATACTATTATTTAATATAGAATCATCATGTCTTAAGAGATTTTTCAAGTTATCACAGAACCAATAAAGTATACTTATCACATTATCGCCATAATTATCACTAGTGCTATAATTGCTACTATCATAATTACTGCTATCAATATTATTATTATTATCAATATCATTATCATGAATGATATTATTATTATTATTATTGAAAAAAGTCTAAATGAAAACATGTTTTTATTATTAGGATTATTAGAATTACTGTTGTCAGCTTCTTCATCAATTACTTTAACCAAGGTATTATTGTTTTCTATTTTATCCTTTATTAGATTTATATATTTGTCTTTTTCTTTTTTTTTGAGAGAGGTTTTCCCCAGTATATAAACATCATTTTTTTATTTGATTGTATATTGTAGGTATACATTGTAAAAGAAACAACATCTTTTGGATATATATTGCATACAACAAGTTAAATGTTAGCTTGCTTACTTGATCACTATCTAACTAATATTGTAAAAAAATTTCAAAAGCAATATTAAAATGTTAAATAGTGAAGTAGCAGCTAT